AGACCATTAAAGTTTTTAATTGCATAATATATTATATTTCAAGGTATTTGTACAGTTTTTACAGTTTTTACAGATTAGTATTCTTGAGTGTGCTTTAATAGTATACTACTCTAACGATAGGTCTATTCAAATCATCTTGAGAACTGGTTTCATATCTCCTTTTTATAACCCATATCTCTATTGGTTTGCAACCTAAGCCAACCAAATGTTGCAGACCCGTAACTACACCAACGCCTCCCGACAACCGACCAATTCCATTACTTCAACTAAACACCATACACCATTGCCCTCCATATAACTTACTCGCCCCTCCAAACAATCAAGTCTAGCTACGAGCTTGGTTGTATTATACACCATTGCCCTCCTGATATATTACCTCCCCCTCCAAACAATCAAGTCAGGTCTGAAATGTTGATAATATGGACAATAAAATTTCACAAAAGGGACAAAAACTTTAGAATTTTTAGGAATAATTTGTGATATTAATATTCTGAAATCGAAGAATTTATAAATTGACAGGATTTATCTTGCTAGTTTTTCTATCGTAGACCATAGACGCAACTCTGTGTTCGGATAGATTTAGTGCAAAACATGACAAAATTAGCATTTTAAGAGATTATATATTATGCAATGACGACAGTTATGCAAATTTCGAAAACGACTTCAAATTCTGAAGTCGTCTGCTATTAACATAGAGCGTCCTGGAATATTCCACAATAATCTATAGGTCAACGTACTCGAGAAGGTTACTATAGAATTTATTTTACAGTCTCCAGTATTGATTCTCCCGTCTATTGCATAATTAGATAGACTGTAGACAGAATACTGGAACGTACAATTCTCACCGCCGATTCCTAGGTCTTGACCTGTCAGAAATTGATTCATGGCACCATTTAACTTTGGTTCCTGGTAATCCTTTATCGTCGGAATTTTGGCACCGTTAACTTTCTATCTTATTATTCTGTTAAGACCATAAGAAATCATCTACTCAGTATGCTTTAGTATTAATTGAATGGAGTTTTACGTCCTATTCTTCTGTGTCTAATTGGTCTAATGAAGACGGGCAACACCATACAGTGTAGAAGATGGTATTTGCCTACTATATTTCTATTTCCATCTATCGAGGGATCTTTAACGTTGGTATATTCGGTAAAATATTCTACACAAGCCCTCTGTCCTTTAAAGGTATTCGGACACTAGACCCTTTCCAGTGAAACAGAATAGGAAAACACGTTAGATATATCATCACAATAAACTAATTATTACCCGCAACGTTTCGACAAAGTTTCTCTAATAGTTATGAAGTACACTATAGTATTCACTTGTTATAACATTGTAATCTTCTTGGTGATCTCTGATTTTTTGCGCCGAGCTTCGCAAACCCCATATTATAGTTGTCAGTTTTGATGTCGCTGTTCCGGAACATTCGTCTTCATTAGGTCAATCAGTAGGAAGTAGGTCATTTCATTTGATTTTCTTGCAATTCGAACCTTTAACGCACCCAACACGACCACCCTTCGCCGAATTTGCAATTCTAAAACGTAGTGAGAATACAAGACAAAATAAACAGATCTTCTAATACATTTCCATATAAGGGTATATTTAAGTCAGACGGAACCACGTCAATCAGAAAACGGTTCCTGAAACTAGCAAGTCAGTCCCTAAGGCTGTTATCAAATTAGCATAACCGCCAGTAAATGATAAGTTGTGTTTTTATTGTATTGGTATTTGTTTTTCTGTACACAAGAGACATTAATTTATGTTTTTAACAGTATTACACTACATATAATCAATTTATATTGAACTTCACGTAATTAGATAGATTACAATCTGGTAAACGATACTATGTGCAGTAGGCAATGGGGCGAAACACATTAACGTGTTCATTAGTCAGTTAAACGGTAGTAGATTCAATTGGATTAAATTAAAATTATCATTTGATTTCGGGGAAGAGGTGTATAGACATGTTAGTTTCAATTTCAAGTTCTGGGAGAATATTCAACCATGTATAACCTCAAACCAAAATAGTCAATTACCTTGAAAATTACGATAAAGTGGGAGAAAAAACTACTGTCGTTAAAATTCTAAACAAATTCTAAACAAATTTAACCCGCTCTAGAAATCCAATAGTTAATATTGTATGGTCACTTTTTATTCGTCGACAGTTGAATTAAAAAACAAACCTTCCAATCTAATTAGTTCACTGGTTCCCTCAAGTCCAACAATAAAACTTAATGCAAGAAATTAATTTCACGAAAAACGTTTTTAATTAACATTCAAAGCGAATGGCGACTGTTTATTGAAGAATTGACATATCTATGATTGTTCCCATGTGAACTAGGTAGTAGACTAGGCGCCGTGAGAAACTGGGGTTTGATCTACACAAGTCACATCATTGTAAATTTCGTATGAGACGATATCATCACCGATATTTTAATATCTGTAAGACATGCTCCGGAACGCCTGATACCACATTGGGTGTGAATTTTGAGAGTCCACATGGCTAATGCTGTTGTATCTTCGTACGTTCAGTTTAAAGGTGTTAAGCAAATTTTACCGCATTGTACACTTCTTGTGTTTATATCTGTCCTATCACGAGCAGAAGAAAGGATATTAAACTCCATTGTATCTTTTGTACTTTTAATTTATAAGAATATTCCAATTTGGCGAGGCCCACGTACCAGCTGAGAGATAGCTGTAATTAGGGTCGAATCGCTAACGAGTGTCATATTGTACTTTATATAGTTCATTAGGTCGATTCACACGATACATACTACTTCAAATACATCTAATAAACATAGATACGTCTCTGACGTCAATTGCCTTTTTTCTGACATAAATACTTGACTATAGTGTTCGATTCACATATAATGAAAGACTAAAACAACCATATTTTAGCAGGATACCAATTAAGGTTCTCGAGGATCCAGTCTACCAGTTGGTACTGGCAAAATCTTTTGGCATTGATCCGTTCTGGATTATCTGTACCCGTTAGCAACTGAGTCGACTTGATAAACTAAAAATATGAAAAGTGGGCTGGGGTTAAGTGTTTATTACAATCAGAATATTTTATACCAGGATAACCACTTAGGTTCATATTTACCAGCTGGTCATTGACCAAATTTCTTCGTAATGTTTTTACAAGTATCACAACTTAGGTTCACAATTAAGGATCCTTTCTACCAGCTGGTCTCGTTCAAATCTCTCAGCATCGATCTTCTCTGAATGTCTGTACCCTTTTATTTTGCTTTGATGCAACATTACTTAAAAACCGTCATAAATACATCCAACAAGTATATGACCTCAGATACAGTATATAGAACACATAGTTAAAGTACTCATTTTAATATCGATATTTTCGCGGTTCGTAGAACATTAAGTGTCAATGTTCCGGTTATATAACTCTCAATGGAACTATTGCCTCATAAACCTAATATACTGATACTGATACAAAATAGCAATATTAAATAGCAATGTTAGCAGAATATATTATCTTTGAAATTCTTTGCCTTTTACCACTCAGAGTTAAGGAAGTCCAAATTTGGTGTTTTTATGAAAACATGTACACAGAAGTGCCCAGAGTTATAAAATGTACTATTATTGTGGAATTTGGACATAATTATATTGTCTCTTGCAGTTTACATGTACTGTTAACAGTTATCTGCATGTACATCAGAATTGGTATACATTAGTTCATCCAGTTTATGAGACCTGTCAGTGCTCCAGAATTTGTACACTTCAGTACAGCTAGTTTATCAAATCTATATGTTCACCATCATTGGTACACACGGGTTCAGCTGGTTTATCAGAACAATATCTTCTGTTTTGAACTGAAATTATATATGAATAATAGGTACCTGTGTATATTACTTGGAACAATAATTATAGGGGGAAATTGTTATCTATACTGGTAGTCGTGGCAGAACCGCCCCAGCTGCAAATTTACAACTAATCGGCATCACCATGGAGTTCTTGTTATGTTTGGACCATACCATTTCTCTTTATGGTACATTTCTACATATGGCAAACAAAAGACTACAAGTAAACACACGCAAGTACAACAGTACCGAAAACAATTGATGCAACTTTAAACCCCCAAGTGGTTTTAGATATGTGGATATGATTTGCTCTGGTTCGTTAAAGATGCGCTAAAACAGTTTCGGGGAAAGAAGAAGTAAAGTCTAAGTGCAATCATCGGAATACCAATAGAGAATTCGTAACATTTGTTTAGATGATGAAATGAAAATGTCAAGACTAGTTAGTGATGGTAGATCATTTTCAAGGGTACGGAAAGAATATTTCAGTCAAACATGAATTTATCTGGTTGTATCTCATGATTTTTATATAGTTGTTGAAGCAGAACATGCTTACTCTCTTCAAAACACCTGATGGTACTTCTCGTTTGTCACGTCCACTACTATACAATTATTACTCCCAATTTTGTCATGCTTTGGATGAGATGAGGTTTAGGTTAATGGAATTGTTTTTCTGGTACGGGTTTGTTTTTTTGTTTTATCTAAACCAGACATTTGACCCAATGTGTGATGGAAGGCTCAGTCGTATTCCTCGACAGAACCTTCTGTTCCATGGCGGTTCTGAGATGAAAAAAATTTCCCAGCTCTTTCCATGTTAGATCAGTGATTTGGATTAATAAAAATTTACTATTTTAAGAATATTAATGTGTTTCCTAGTCGGATATTATCACAGAAACGCCCTTGATCTCACTAAGAAATTGCTCCATTACGTTTTGAGACGTCCAGACCGAAGTGTTTTGATTATATTTGGCCATGTCAGACCACACCGACCGCTCCGTCTAGACCTTATTGACAATCTCATAATCAGTTTCTATCGACCCAATTCATACACAGATAAGCAAATAACCGTAGACTCAATGACTTACGGGTGGAATCAATATGTACTATAAAAAACATCGTAAAGTCTGAGAAATAATATTTTAATATGTGCTATTAAACAGGTTATATCTTACATAACGCCTTTCTTTATGAATATTTTAATGTGCGATTTCCGCATCTACTAGAAGATACCACTAGATCCTTGCAATCGTTGAAGATGTAATTGCCTTGAACTTCAGCTTTTGAGTTAGCTTTTGAGTTAGCTAGATCGTTCGGAACACCTCCTTCAGGGATATCTAGATCGTTCGGAACACCTTCATCATGGACCCCTAGATCGGCCGGAACACCAGTTTCATGGATAGCTAGATCGTCCCGAACATCTTTTTCGGTGATAGCGAGATCGTATGGACTACCTTCCTCAGTAAAAGCTAAATCGTCCGGAACAGGGGTAGCATGATCGTCCAGAAGATCTCCTCAAGGCATCAACACTGAAAGCTCAAAGTATTTTAGGTAATGAAAGATGTCGAACACTTTTAACATGTACTCACATCTGTCTCGAACATTTTGAATTGAATCATGAATACTATTTATAAACGTTTTATTGGGCTGCGTTAGACTTTTTTTGTTCTATATTTCTAAATGTGGAATGACAGTATTTGAAAGAGGATCATTGTTCAGAGAAGAATTGGACAGATCGTGATAATCAACGTGCGTAGGAAGTCAGACATTTCTCGTTTCTCATTAACAATAAAATGTGATAATGCATTTACCCGACCCAATTCTATTGGAATTTATGCTGGATGTAAATTATCTTACAGAACATTCGATCCGAGGTATCATAAGTCACTTCTTCAGTATTCTTGACTTTGATGCTTTCAATGCTTTCAATTCTCTTTCAATCCTACTTTGAAAATACATATTCTCTCATAGCGCATTCCGTACCTCAGTCGTTTGCTCGGTAAACTAAATGACCATATTTTGATGCTGGCATAGATTGAGAAACTCTATTCGACCCGCGGTATCTCAGTCGGCCCTGCGCTTGCTCGGTATCATTAATTTGATGTATTGATCATATGTTATAAAGGCGCCTGGGATCGTGTACTTCCGCCCAAGGTTTCAGAGTGTCACTACTTGATATGTAGTTGATGAATAAACATGTAGAAGCCATGCTGTTAATTTTATTCGAACATTTATATCAGAAGCTGAACTGAAGTCACAATAATTTATGTCCAGACTTCGCCACTAGCATAGATCGACAAACTAATTTTTAATTTCCTATTTGAAATCTAAGTTAGAAATACAACCTGTCTTGATTTGATTTTTGAGACGTAATAACAACCATTACGTAGTCCAAGCTAATGAGGTCATTGGGATCACCTTTACCTCCCTCACCGTCATGATTCAATCTGTTAGGTGTCGCAAAGGATTTTTATTCACAAAATCGTTAATCCTCACGACAAAATAGGGGGATTATGTCTTTTGTTCCATAAGAGTCAAGCTTGACGTGTGCTGGTGGCGAGGGATTAACGGCTAATCCCCTACTGGTTTAATCCATCAATGACATTTCAACGCGGACTTGACTACCGGATTAGTTTTTATAATGGTGGATCGATATGTTTTTAGATGATGAAAATGTTGATGGTGACCCATCTACACCAGGAGAGGTAGCGGAGACTAGGAGGCGTTAATCCCACGTTATTTATTGCCTTTATATAATTCACACACGTGGTCATTTTGTAACGTTTAGGGTTATTACGTTGAAGGTGACCAATATTTTGACTCGTGATAGACATTTTTAAGCCACCAGTTCCACATGTTCGGCCCTCTTGATATAATATTTTCTTTCTTTACATAACATTATCTTTGTAAGTAATGATATTGTCAAATTTGTCTGTTCGCGGTTTTACATATTAACGCGTTTTGTAACAAGTAATATATTTTAAAAGAACTGTAGGGTGGATGTAAATTAATGAGTAGCATTGCCTCGATATCAAACCAAATATTGAACAACTGATGTCTATGGTTTAAATGTGTGCTGATGGATTTTACTTTTGCTGCATAAAATTCTCTTGCTATAGCTTACTATTTCAGATTCTAAAAATGTCATTTCGTATGTCATATATCTGTCAAGGGTAAATATGAAATACCACTAATTTCATGCTTACTCTTTTAGAAACACCTGATGGTACTTCTCTTTGGAGGAATCCACTAATATACAACTTTAACTCTCGATTTTGCCATACGTTGGACAAGATTTTGATTAACAGAATGGTTTTGCTTGTACGATTTTTAATCCATGACCAAACATCTTGTGGGCAGCAGCTACGTAATAAACCCAGAATGAGTCAGACGACCCGGCCTCCCCTAGGGCATTTTCTAGATACGCCCTGCAAGTGTTACAATGAAAAATAACCTTTGATTAAAAATGGACCACTAATTTCACGACCACCCATCTTCTGGGCAGAAATACCATGTTAAGAATAAGAATAGAAGCTACGTAATAAGACTACAGAAGTCAGACTGCCCTCGTCTTTGTTTTGATCAAATTATCCAGCTGTGGTGTTGTTATGATAAAATCTCGTGCAGCATCCAGACGGCCTTGAAGAATCTATATCCTGTTGATTCCAATTCTAAACAAAGTTCGATCGATCAGAAGAGACAAGTATAATCCGAAACATTTCTCGATTGTTAACTTAATATAAATCATCCAATGTGACAAGATATTGTGTAAGGAGAACAGTAAGTGATCTTAGGACTAACTTCAAAGTCACACCAGGCTGTCATGTTTTAGGCCTATCAAATCTGACAAATATTTAATGAGGTCATTGTAAAGTTACTAAGGTCTTATGTATCTTCAAAGAGTCAAATGGGTTTTATAATTTTTGTATATGTAGGCCTATTGCCGATACTTGTATAATCCAATTTCACCATTCTGATTTCTCGTTCCATATTGTAGTCAGCAGATGCACGCGTTTAAGACCTGCGTTTCCCTTTGTAACGAATGGAAATGATACCAGTTTTCATAGTGAAAAACTTCCTGTATGAAAAGTTCACTAGCTGCAACCAATGTTTGCCATTCTGTTATTTTGGATTTCGGGTTTTGTTAGTACTATTTTAATACTCTTTTCACTTGGTTGGTCAGTTCCTCCGCATTCTTGTTCTCGTCCATGATGAGAAGATGATGTTTAATCTTATGGTAATATAGGACCAGGGCTTAACTGTACGATCCGATATGGAATAATAGAAAGTATAGTTCTCCTGCACTTAGTATCACAGTCACGTGAAGTTTCCTGTACAAATTGTTATTTAATACCCAGATTATCAAGTGGACCTTAAAGCTGAATAAGAAAAGTATACGTCTTCATTAAAAGTTCGTGTATAAGTCTTCTTCAACCCGGAACTTACGTCAATATCAAAATGGGCGGAAGATATAAATCCAGTCCATAAAGTTTACAAGCGGATGCTGTCCGATTCGGAAGTTGTAATATATACTAATTAATATACTAGTATCAGACAATTCTCAGAATCGGGTATATTAGCAACAGATGGAATCGTTGAAAGTTGACAAATTGCATGAAATTGGTCTGAATGTTGTAATGTTATAATTAAGATGTATTACACGGCGGTCGATTGTAGCCACGAGCTGTCCAGACTGGACGATGGTCAATTAGATTAGATCAATATTCGCCAAGGTTAAATTGGCTTGGTTAATATTTCTAATATACCTATATATATACACAGAGGGTCTCGACAATAGAGCCCCTTTCACCCATTCACAGTCATAATGCTTACAGCCTTAATGTTGAAGGTGTTATGATTGGTTGTATTCGATGGCGTATGATCCAATCAAATCGCTGGCTATTGCAATCAATGTATTACACAAAGTTCGTAATAGCTTGACATTGCTTTTTTTTAATTATGAAATACTTATAATTGATATACTTCCTCAAAAAGTTCATTAGCTGCTACCAATGTATTGCCAGTATGTTGTTTTGGATTTTGGGTTTCGTTTTGCGGCTCGGATTGATAATGTTTGGTTTATTTATTGGCCATCAAAAAATGTTTTCAAGTTACGTAGCCTTTGTGACAAACGTCGTTTTCCGTACTACTGTCTTCATACATAAAGTTGACCAATTTGTCATCGTATGGGAATGTCACTTAGATCGACATCAGATGTTGAACAGGATTTTAATAACAATGATTAGCTTATTGGAAACTTTTAAGGCGATCGGTGTTGTCTGGACACAACGTAAACCATCTAATTAATAGACAGCTAATTATTGATTATCTCTAATTAGTCCAGGCACAGACTGAATCAGAGATGACCTCTTCAAAGATCTTCAAAATGCTGTGTGATTAAAAGAACATCATTAAGATTTGAAAGACATCCTCGTTTCAGAGAGATCAGAAAAGCTCATCAAAGATAGAGTTTGTATTAAAATAATTCTTAATTAGCTTGAAGCATGACACTGATTATTCTAACAAGTAAACGTCTTTGGCTTTCATATCGATACACGAATTAAAGCAGAAATAAGCCATGTACTGACAATTCAATCCGAAATCAACATACTGTAGAAACATTGGTAGCAGTTAACTACTTGAGGTAGGTTGGCACAGGTGGAGACAGGGAAACAGACCAAAAGGTAATACAACAAACCAAGACACAGACAAAAAAAATAATGTATCAAAATAAACAACACAATAGCTATGATTAGGAAAAACATGCGTAGGAAAAGGTTGTCTAAATGTAAAAAACAACGCTGAAGAGATTCACAAGAAAGAACTGCATATTTGAACAGGAACCTTATATCTTGTTAACATTTTAATTTAATGATGAAGCCAAAACAGAAAAAAAAATACTTCCTTCAGATGTCGTAGCCGATTAGAAAATATGAAATAGATATCTGCCACCCACCTCTTTTAGAATATTTCTGAAGAAATTGGAAAATATTCTTGACATAACTCTCCTGTAAACATGGCAGATTGAGAACAATTAACTCCATGTTGCAAGAGTCAAATTACAAAAATATAACGCGAATTAAAAAACTCGAGAATAAAGACACAAAGAACAGTATCTATAAAATTGATTGAATATCAAAGGCTTGTTGTATCTGGGTAAATAAATAAGCCATGTACCCGAAACCCGGATTCCAAAACAACATAGTGACAAATATTGGTAGCATCTAATAAACTTTTCACATGAGGAAGTATATCAATCATAAGTGGGGTATTGTTAATAGCGATGATATTTTGCATAAGTGGTACATGGTTCATCATCCGTTTGACCAAATCGCACCTTAGTCTCAGAAACTGGAATTGTTTTAGCTATCCGCAATAGTGTTCACAGATCACTGTCAAAAGTGGAGCCTTTAAATCCATGTGTGTCTAGAATTATCCGCGTTGGAAAGTTAGTAAGACGACTCGTCTTGACTTGAGAATCCGCCATATATATAGAAATGACATAAAGAAATAGAAAGTGAAATTTCTAGTTTGAGGTCTATTTAAAGGGATTGTGCGATTTTCGAGCAGTTCTAGTAGTTTCTGGTGACTATATTCATATATTCAAGACCCAAATCAACGCCTGAAAACAGCGAACCATGGTTTTTGCAATGTCCTTTGAAGTTAAAAATGTATCAGATGAACATCTAAGAATGTCTAAACTTGATATTTATACCTGCTATATATACCTGAGTGAATACCAAACTAATGTGAAATTTCTCAGACGATACATAAAGACGTTAGTGTTTCTGTATTAAGTGTAGGAGGCCAAGAAAATATCTAACATTTCCCATCCTAGAGTGGGCGAGTGGGAGTTGGTTACAGCTGACCCTTTAACATTTTACTCTAATCTCGTTTTCATATCCTTCAAACTGGTTGTTGATTGAACCACTTGGTTAGTTAAAGGCTAGACCACACAGAGTTGGTGATAGGGGTTGAAAGGCAACACCCGACCAATCTTCGGAAGCACTTGTTGTGCATTTATAGTGTCTTAAATTGAGGATTCGAACCCTCGTCACCCTAATCGCTCAGCAGTTGGTTTTAAATAAGACCAAAGAGTTTTAGAGAATTTGGCAATTGACATCAGCTTTAATGAAATAAGTCAAATATTTTGAGTGCCGCAATATACTCTTGGTGACACTGGATGACATCGAAGTGTCTTACATTGAAGATTCGAACCCTTGTCACCTAATCGTTCAGTAGTTGGTATGGACGACATGTCTCATAAAATGGAATTTGCTTCCTTCCGAAAATGCTTTCATATTTCTCGTGTATTTTGATTGAAATAGCTTTTTCTCAAAAGGTTACCTAACATGAGGATGAGCTACTTTCCCAAAAAAATGCTAGCAAACATCCTCTCGTACTTAACCCCAAACTCTGACATCATGTTTGTAGGCCTTTACCAACATTAGTCTTTTCATTCATGATTTGTTAAATTTTACTGAATGAAACCTGTTATACCTTAATAATGCACCATTTAAATATTTCTAAATCTGGGTCACCTAGAGTTACAATGGCAAAATATGGGATGGTGAAGTATTTTATTGGTATGTCGTAATCTACTTTTCTAAGAAAGCAGGAAATGTGAAAACGAAAAGTTAACAGCTCTGCAGGATATGACAAGGTCGTGTGACTAATGTTTATTGTTTATTGTGCATCATCAGGTCTCTTTATTATGCACATTATTCTTTTTAACCGCCTGGCTTTTCGGCGAATAGTTTGCAGCGTCCTGAATAATCTATTAGTCAAACACTCATATTTTTTTTTTGATTTTGTCAGAGACGTTTTATGGATACGCCTAGTTAAATAACGATCTTGAGACGTTGGCTTTTAAATGCTCAAATTACAATTACGTGTTGGGTAGTTTATGATCGTAGATGCACACGAAGACAATGATGATGTTAATGATGAGGATGGTGGATGATCATGATGATGATGACGATTATGGTCGATAATGATCACAATATATAATGAGAATGATTGGTGATAATGATGATGATGATGATTATGAAGATTCCATATGAAGCCAAATTCCAAGTCCGTCGTCCTTAGATAAGGATGGTCGCTATTAATTTTCATACCTTTTTTCATCATCAAAGACCACCTTTTAATGGTGTGTTTTTCTTTCAGACAAGATTGTTTCTGTTGTCAAGTCAATTTTAATTCTCTTAATGAATTCTCGGTGGACGGAACCTCCCACTGTCTCGAACCTTTGATTAGAAACACTTGTAGATTTACCTATAGCGTTAATTGTCCGGAGTAAATAGAACTATTGACCCAATCAATACGCTAATGTGTTTACAGCGACACCTTACTGAGAAACATCTCAAAAGAACAATCAGACCATTGATTAATATCAGGCTAGCCTTGGTCCTTCAATAGCCAGTGGTCAGCAAACGATCAGTGACCGCCCGATAATTAATTCTTTTATTCCAACGTCGCCCGCAGCCGTCAATTCCAATCGAATGATCTGCCACCGGCGGTATTTCAAGCAGAGCGGATAATTTGTTTTCGTATTTAAAGATGTCGTTGTAAATGGTCGTCTGCGACGATAAAATTGTCGTCTCTTTTCAATATCTCTCAGTGGACAGTTTGGTTTGTATAAAACATCACGTGTTGAGAGTTATCAATTTTAAATTATTACACACAGCAGATATAATTCAATCGTCCGCCATCTTGCCTTCTCCGGGATCTGGGCCGGTAGATACGATCTCGACACACGTTCTCTCAGAATAATTCAATAACTCTAGACACTAGAAGTAAATTAAATACAATACAATTAATTCGCTAAACGAACATCCGTCATTAAAGTCAACTCGATTCAAATAAAAACGTCAATGGCGACGTCGTCTGCAAATGTCACTTCACATGCAAGAGTTCCCAAGATGGCGGAAGTAATTATTCTAATGATAATCTGATATGATTATAATAGATATTATAATAAACCCCATGACTTTTGATCCCTTGATCTTCTGTATTATATTTCAACAGTGACATATGCTTGGGATATATAACCATTGTCTTCAACAGTAGTTGTCGTAGAGGATGAACGCATCCTAACATTAATATCAAATACAATCTGACGAAAATGAAAGACTGGGTGTTTGTTTCTTCAAAAATCTTATTGATCAAAGCATTTGATTGATTGAATACTAAATGACCACGAACAAGAGATGCATAACAGTGTCGTCAGATCATGGGTTACCAGTGAAGTGGTAAAAGAGTGGGATGTAACAGGACAGAAGCCCAGTGGACTGTACAAGTATGGCGTTTGTCGAAGTATTCACCCTTATCCCATACAAGGGTAGCAACAAATTCTAAAGAGTAACTAATAGTCCAAGAGGTTGATAAATGACCAATTTATGAACAAACTAACAAGGAACAAGTCTCATCGGACGAGGGCGTTTAATAAACAAATTACTCATGGGCATAGTTAACATCTGACTCAATGCACTTTTTTAAAAAGATCGATAACTGATAAACAAACTCGGCATCTTTTTCTTGGCTAAATTCAGCATCTATCTTCTTTCCGTATCTAAAATAGATATAAAAGGTTCTAAAATTAGTTGAATTAAGTTAAATATAGTTCTGAATCAGACGATCTGTTATGTCTGTAAATTTATTACCTTCATATAAATATTAAAAGAGGAAATTAATACCCAGTAATTTTATCTCAGGCATTTTAATTCACTGGCGGGGGAGTCGACTCAGTGGGATTCATGCCAATATTCAATCTGATTAAAATACAAGATAAATTGTTTCAATTTTTCACCAGCTTAACCCCAACTCAGATCTTAGATTTGACGACAATCTTACGCCCTATGATTAATATGGAATTACCAGTTGACGCTGACGGGGGAGTTGAATTTGTGGGAATGATGCCAAGATATTTTGTTTGGATATTATTCCTGCAAGCAACTATATCTGCCATATGATTGTATTTGACGAAATCTTCTGCACTATTTTACTACGTATTTAACAGCCGAATATGTAACCAATCAAATTGCAGCTTTGATCCTTATACTTCCGGTGAATTCTAGAATATTCCTTAAAAATAGACCTGTTCCATGAAGATATTTGAATCCTTACTCCTTAATTCTTATCTAGAAATTTCTTCATAATGGTGCTGCTTGTCTTCAATACACCCATCATGACACAATGGTAGGGCTTAAAACTCTTTTTCAGAATCAAAAAAAATAGGACACATTATTCCTCTCTACTATTTGGTCCCGATAGAGCTTTGACCAAGGTTACCATTTGTAGACTGTTCACGACATCAATTTGAGGCTAAGCCATTAAGAACCAGACGATGTGAAAGTACATCAGTATTCTTATTGACCGTGTAGGAGGTTTCTATAACTGTCTTCGCCCCAGGCTGTGGAACAAAGTGGTAACAACAATTTATCAGACATTCTTTCGGTTTTTTCTGTCTAGAAACACGTGGAGATATTACATTACTGAAGGTGACGTAAAAAATGTCAATTTGAATAATATATATAATCATAAAACTTCAGATGAAATGTTAAATATTTTAAATTGCAACAATCACTTATTGTTTGGTAAAAACACGATCTCCAGGTTGGCCAAAGGCTCGATCAATAAATGATCTCTTTTCCGGAACATCAAGACCCACACATAGACAGGGGCGTGTTTAAAAATGCAAGAGGAGGGGACAGAAAATTATGTTTATGAAAGCGTCATAGTCATCCAGTCGACCCAGCTGTAAATGGGTAGCCTATAGACAATCTGGGAAAGATCAATGCCAAGAAGTGTAGTTAAAAGGATCCTTAATTGTGAACCTAAGTTGTTATCCTTGTAAAACAAATAACTGTTTCTTTTTTTCTTTCGTAGCGTGAAAGAAGGATATTTTTGTCAAGACATATTAACAAGTGGATTTATAACTCAACGTTTTACTCCGCACATCACTTTTTGCAACCAATTAAATTCCAGTGGGCGTTGATATTTTACGCTGTTTGGTTTCTTATTAGTATATTTTAAGGCAACA